CGGCGGACTACGGCGCTCGGACGCTGGGGGCCCTGAGGGCGGCGCGGCCCCGGCTCGTGTGAAGGTCTCTCCCCGCTCACATCCACTGCATCCCGGTAAGAGCCTTCACGTGAAAGACCAGAGACTCACTTACAATGAACACAAAAATCTTTTCTGTTCGTTTTCTTTTTTCTATTTTATAAATCGTTGTTCCGCACCACTTGCAGCCTGTCGGACTCTAGAATTTCGAACTGCGCTCTAGGTGCGGGGCTGCCCTCTTGCCCTCAGGCATCCAGGGCTGGGCATCTCTGAGCGCTTGGGGGGCTGGAGACTGTCCGTTGAACCTCTAGAGGTTAAAGGAACTTTTGCGCCCTTAGGAAAGGCGCTGATCTCCAAAGAGTTTCCTGCATCAGAAGAGTGAGGGGAGGGAGAGAAAGAGGGAGAGGGACGGGGGCTGGGACCCGGACCGGGAGATGGAGAGACTCAAAACTCTTTAAGGCAGTGGCGTTCCAAAGTTGCACCTCATTGATTGCCTTAGAAGTGTGTGTGTGTTAAGTTGGCTGTTTTTTCCTTTGTTTTAAATTGGTTTTCAAATGCGGTAGGGTTTGAGCTGTGTGTGTCTGGGAAGTCAAACAAGTCTAAGTTCTGGGTTACAAACCGAAGGGATCTGGGTTCTAGGGCAGAACTAGCACCTTTCTCCGCTCAGGGGCGCAGACCACTGGCTTCTTGTCGGCTTCCATCTGCCAGCCTCGAGAGAAAAATCTCTTCCGCGGAGCCGTAAGTGCAGCCTGCTTCCCTTTGACCAGATGTGGGTTATCTTCAGGCTCTAGAGGTACCCCCCACTCCCACAAAAGAAAGTCAGCCTTGTGGGAGTTGAACTGGGAAAGGCTCAGGGCAGCAGGAGGGTCTCAGTAGTTTTGCGTCTCAGCACTTTTAGCCTTGGGGATGATTGCGCCCCTTTAAAGGCGCGGAGAGTCGCCGGGTGCCCCCGCCCACAAGCGGCCTTCCTATGCCTGGACTCGGGACTTAGTTGGGCTGAGTTGACTTTAGAGTTGCTGTGGAAGGGCAGGTGGCTTTCCAGAGGGGCTTGGAGCGGTCACCCACTTGGACCAGCTGGGTCTGAGCCCTCAGCCAGTGGCGTCCAAGGTAGGAGAGTGGGTCGGGAAGCTGGTCGCTTCTTTTCCCAACTCTTGGGCAGACCGCTGGTCCCCCGAGCCACAGCTTTACAAATCAATGCAAAAATCTGCACACAACCTCGAAAGGACACTTAAATTTAGATGTTGCAAATCCAAACCACAGATTTCAAGTATAAACAGAAGCCTGGCCATTCTAGCACACACAGGCAATCAAGAAAAGACATCAAAACCCACAGCAGGTTGAGCAGGGAGATACATATGCTGTTTTTTCCCCCCCTCCTTTTAAAGCAGAGGCTTCACAGGGACTCAGTTTAAGCCCCTCCTTTTGGAGAGGTGAGTTTCTGCCCTGGTCTCTGAGAAGACACCCCGGCTTTTATTCCAGGTCTAGATGCAACATGGAGGTATTGGGGAGGGATGAAGGCAAGAAACCAGCCAACCTGAAACCCAACAGGCCCCTGAAGGCAGCGGGGCAATGAGCCCAGAGGGCAAGAGAGGCTTGGGAGGGTAGGTGGAGGGGGCAAGGCTTTGCTACTTGTTGCTGGAGGCGCCTGCGCGGCAGACCGGCAGCTCCCTCGCAGCACCAGCAACCGAGGACCGGGAGACAAAACGCCCCAAATGAGCTGGTCAAACATTTGTACAACTTTTCCAGCTTTTACAAAGAAGGCCTTCTCTACACAATCTACACTTGGAGATGAACTTGGGAGACAAAGCCTGGAGAGTCCATTGAAACTCACACTTTAGCTCGGCCCAGACAAAGCTCCCGCTCCCAGCAGCTTGATGTGAACAAAGGAAGCCAACCTTTTTATAATTCAAGGAGAAAAGAAGAGAAAACAGCCCCACAAAGGGCCGAGAATAGACATTATGGGCTTGCAATGAGGGATGAATTATTCAATGAGCCCCAATAGCTGCTGCGCCAGGAAGTTTTATGGACTCTCCAGCGTGGAAAAAGTGGCCATTTCACCTACAAAATGTTTCTAGTCTTTTGGGCCGTCTAGCTGGGCCAGCTGCCATTCAAGGGCAATTGCTACCATTTTTAAAATCAGAGTATTCTCCCCAGCGGGGGCTGGACCGTTGAAAACACACACTTCTACACACCTCGGAGGCTGAAGTCTAATTTAATTTGGGGTTGTCAAGGAAGATGCAGCGTCAGTCTCTTCAGCGCCTCTAGCTCCATTTCCAGATGATCCCCCGAGGGCAAGAGGGGCCCAGAGAAAGGACACAGTGGAGTGGAGTTTGAAGGGAAGTTTAGAAACCCCCTCAAAATTCCCTCTGCTTTTCGGGACTCAAACAGTCCCGGGCTGTCCCGTTTGGAAAATAGATTGAATATCGATAAAAGGCTATGAGCGCCCAGGCGAGGTGGGAAGAGCCTGGCCGAGGAGGGACGTTTGGGTCCAGGGTCCGCCTGACCAGGGCGGCGTGCTCTCTCTCTGGAGGTTCCAAATTCCTTTCCGGCCTGCCGGATGTTGGAGAGACTGGCTTTCTTGGGTACATCTTTTTACTTGTCAGACTCTAGGACACAGAAGTACCCTGAAGGAGGTCGAACTGCCCTCGTTCTTCTCTCCAGGGTCTTGCTCTTTTTTCTAGATGGCCCCTTTCACCTTCCCAACTTTGCCTTGTCCCTTGCCCAATCCAAGAGCAGCTCTGCGGAGGGACCCGGCGCGCTCTGGGCCGTGTGCCCTGGCGCGCAAGAGACGCTTTGTGCCCCTCTTGGGTCTGTCCTTCCAGCTCTTTTGCCCTGGTGGAAGGAGAGGGTTGGGCGGCCAGGAACCACCCTCCCTTAACCTCCCCTCTACCCACCCTCTCTCGCCCCTAGTCAGCA